CTCCTCTCTTATATTTACATGCTTGTACTCCTAACAATTTGAGTGTTGTTGCAAGCACAAGTATATGTTTACCAAGCTCTCCGGTATAGAGGTGATATCGTTCCACTCTTCTCTCTCTCTCTCTCTCTCTCTAATAATTCTCATGATCAATAATTGTATCGTTTGACCTATATTGCATGTGTATGACACTTTCTATGTATGATAACTTGCTTGGTTGTACAATATTGTGTGGCATTATAAGTAGGCATCAATAGCAGCATTGCATTGGATACAAATCAAAATTCTGCATTTTTACTCACTATGAGTCGACCATAACATGGCAGAGGTCGACGCACACTGTTCACTTTTGTATTTGTCAAAAATCCAACAGTATGCGTCGACGCATGCAGAGGGTATGGTCGACGGCTCGCGTAAAAATTCAGTTTTATTTTATTTTTCTGATTGTCATTCCATCTTCCTCATTTAATCCTTTCTCATCTCATTAATGTTTGCTTTTACTCATAATCATAGTAAATTGTACCTATTCACTCCTACTATTCCTTGTCTCTTCCACTTCCCAAAACCCTAATCTCCATCTATAAAAGGGTAATCATCCTCTTCTCCAAATCACTTCAACATCTTCAAATCTTTGCTCTCAAACTCTACCAAATCTTCAAATCAGCATCCATGGCTTCCTTAATCCGCAGAAACACTGGCAAACGCACACGAGCTTCATCATCCACCTCCATGCTCGTTATTCCATTGTCCTTGGTTCCTCCACCTCTTGTTGAAAACTTCAACAAAGATATCAGCAAGAGATCAGTTGTTAAACAACATGCGTTCTACAAGGCAACTGCAACGCGCATGCATCTCGAACAAGTAGTTCTTATGTTGCAGTATCAAGGAATTGTCAGATTTCTGGAATGTGGCGCCAAATATAGTAAAGATTTGATTTGTGTTTTATACACCTGTCTGCATGGTAAATTCGAAGGTGAGGACTTTCACTCCAAGATCGGCACAACAAAGGTAAATTTGAACTCTGAAGTATGGTCTAAATTTTTCAATTTAACTGTGGCTGAAAATGAAGATCCTCCTCTTGAGGTTACCGATTCTCGCACCGTGCCTCAATATGAGTATAAGACGGCCTTGAATAGTATGCTGAAAAGGCCTTATCCAGAACACATAGTGAATAGTGACGCATTTCCAAGAAGTGTTACTGCTGGAAAATTACTTCCCGAAGAGCGCATTCTTCAATGGATTGTGGCTCGAATTTTGCAGCCAAAGAAAGGAGGCCTATCTCGTGTTGAACAGGCTGAGGTACATCTTATATTCGTTTTGAAAAATTTGATTAGAATAAACTGGCCTTATTACATTGCTAGTTGCATGTTTTCCTTAAGAGACTCCGGCAGAGGCAATGCTCTTGAAGATCCGGTTCAGGTGGAGATTTGCGGCAGGTTTTTCTTGAATAAAACCAAAAGGTTTTGCCCTCAAAGATTCGAAGAATTTGAGGGTTTTTGATACAGATTGTTTCGATCAACATTCAAGCGGTGCGAAGGTGATTGATAAACGGAAGGTTTCATCAATCTAGTAACTGAGGCTGTGAAGTGTTGAAGGCATATCCGGGTTCGATTCGTTGGTGTCTAAGATCAGCCGGGCCGAGGGTTTGAAGAACTGAAAGTTATTCAACAAAGGGGCTATAATCGGAGGTCAATTCACAACAATCAAAGGGCTTGATTCATCTTGAATCAAGGAGCAAGAAGTGATAGCACTACCTACATCAATAAGGATTGTTTGTATTATTGCTTATCAACTCTTGTATAAACTACTTTACAATAGGTTATATCTATTACAAGCAATCTCAATTCTAGTTTTAGAATTGAGGGCAGACGTACCCCGAAGCGAGGACGGTGGGGGAACTGCCTCAACAAATCCTTGTGTTCTTTGTTTTTCAGCTTTTTCATTTTCAGCTTAAAAATAAGTGATTTTAGTTTAAGCATTTTTATCGATCCGTATATTGAATTGAGTGAGTAACTGAATTGTGTAAACTGTAGTGCAATAATTCTCTGCACTAGGATTTTATAGTTACTCATTCAAGCCAAAATACACTTGGAGTGCTTCGCACACCAAGTGTTCGATAAATTGCCTGAACCAAGCTTACTTAGTTTACTTGCTCTGTTTTGTGAGCCGTGTTGAGCATTGGAACCAGCTGTACTAATAAGTGTTAAAAACCAATTGATTAAGTGTGATTAAGTGCGTTGAATCCAGTTAATCATTATCTTAATCCATAGGCTAGACACATATTCGGTCTTCCAATAACGGTTCGTTATAGACGTGTTTTTCCTCGTCCGCTTCCGCAATTTTTAAAACATATTTTCAAACCAATTTTAATTGGTAAGCGCCACTCAAAAATTCTATTTTTAAATAGGGATCTATTCAACCCCCCCCCCCCCCTTCTAGATCCGCGCCATCATCTAACAATATCTCATATCAAAAAAGGTGAAAACATCTAAGAACTTGAAATGTGAAGAGGAAGTGAAAGAAATGAGTTTTGTGTAACACCCTTCCTTGATCTATAAGAGTTGAAAAAGATATGTTAAAGTTTTGTGTAGAAGTTGCAAAGATAAGGCGTGAGAGAGTGTTAGGGTTTTGTTAAGAGAATGATTGTTTTGTCTTAAAAGAGAAATTTTTTGTTTAAATATGATTTATACTTTTTACCATGGTTGCTAAAAACCACCGTGATTAAATGTAAGTTCATTTTACTACAGTTGTTATCTTTTAATAAAAGAAAAAAAATGCAGGCGTATTTTGTAGCATGTTATGTTAGGTGTATTTTGTAGTAATGTTATAAATATTTTCCTCCTCATGCATCTTCAAGTCTTCAAATTTTATGGTAAGGAATTGAAGTCATAACATACGAACTTATGATGTCCTTTCTTGAACAACTTCAAGGGTTTCCCAAGCTTTCTTAGTAATGATGCAAATATTAATGATTCTGAAGACATTTTTGCCGACTTCATTATAAATAACATTAAGAGCACAAGACTTTCCAACCGCAACTTCATCTTTGGAAGATGTCTAATCCTTTTCGGGCTTCACAGATTCATAATTATTTTCAACTATAATCTTCGAAGGAGTTGACCCATTGATGACTGCTTTCCAGGTCTTGCTATCCATAGACATAATAAAAGCAACCATGTAAGTTTTTCAATAGTCATAATTAGTACCATTAAGAATCAATGGTTGATTAACATATCCTCATTCTTTGGCATTGTCCATCTTGAATAGAATATATATATATTAAAAAGCCTAGAGCACACCGACTACTGTAGGGTGTTTGCTCTGATGATAATTGAAAATTTGTTTGGTCAACACACAATGTTAAGTAATGTGTGAGACAATATGATCTAAAAAAAAGCGATGAACAAATAAACAAAATACAAAGTAAATAACATAAATAATTGGCAATCCAGTTTTGTGCAATGTCTCCTACGCCTAGAAGGCTATAACTTAAATGAAATAAAAACTAATTAAAGTATTTAATTGTACATGACGATTTCATTTAAACTCTCACAGTTCAGTTCCCTTTTCTCAATATTAATTGTGAATTTCAACTCAGACTTCTTTTAAATATAAGATCCCCTTACTTTCACTCAGACATTCTTTCAAGTATTTGCAAGAACCAATTACATGTGGAATGATTCAAATCACACTTACCGGACATTCTATCTTTATAAAATAAGAAAGACTTTAAAAAAAAATAATTTGAAAATTAATTATAGTTTTTATTTTATTTTTATATTTAATAATTTATATTATAATTAAATAATATTATAAAATTAAATATTTCTTTTTTAAATATATGACATGACAAACTTGTATGATATGACAACACGCATGTACCAAAAGAGAAAAAATATATACAATTTTTTTAATTATTAATTACTATTCTAAAAGAGATTATATAATTGACAAATAAGGTTTGTTTATGTTAACTTTAAAAAATAATTTTTTTTAATATTTTTAAAATGATATTTATAAATGGTTTTAAAATATTAAAAGTTTTAATTTTTTTATCAATTAATGATTAATTTTAACATACTATAACAAAAACATATATTATCGAAAATTAATAAAGCATAGTTAGAACCACAATTTTTTTTAAAAATTGTATCTTAAAATCAATTTTATAAAAATTTATTTAAAATAAATTTAAAATTAAATAAAAAAATTTAAATTATAATTTAAAAAATTATAATAAAACAATAAAATATCTAAATAACATTTTAAAATAATCATTTAAATCAAATGTTTATTTCACCTTTTCCTAAAAAAGTTTATAATTTTTAAACTAAAATATACAATATTATAAAAATTATAAAAGAAAAAAACTAAAACAAACAATGGATTATTAAACATATTCATATACAATAATGCACAATAATTTAAGTTTATCATTCCAACTTGGCAATTCCATGACATCATAATAACCATACGTCTAGACAAAAAATTTTACCAACCATATTTTTGGACGGCTGCTGTGAAAGATAGCTCTCAGAAATTTTAATATAATTTACTAATTGATTGCTACAAACCAAAACTTAAAAAACAATTATTATACGGATTGGATATCACACATCCTATCGAACGCCGCATTCCACGTGTAAGAATCTAAGAAACACGAGTCCCAAGAATCGCTAGATACTACCATCAAACTGCTATAAATACCCATTTCTCGCTCTCTCTACAATTCCACACTTCTCAAATTCAAATAAAAACAAACTAGTACTAGTATTAGTAATATCATTGAAACGACCTCTGAATTCGTAGTTTCGTAGGATAGCATTCTTGTGTTCGATCATTTGCTTCTTCACATTCTCCACTTTTTCTCTGTAAGTTCCGTTCTCTTTTTGTTACTGGTTTTTTTCTTTTTAAGTCGGTTTTCTTTTTTTGGAGTAGTTTTGGTTATGATTTTTTATTGTTGTTTGATATGATTGATGATACAGTGATCAGGTTTTTGAAAGATGACGGTGACACCTAAAATCTCTGTTAACGATGGAAACTTGGTTGTTCATGGAAAGACTATACTTAAAGGAGTTCCAGAAAATGTTGTGCTTACTCCAGGTTCTGGTAATGGTCTCGTTACCGGCGGTGCGTTCGTCGGTGCAACTGCTTCCAATTCCAAAAGCCTCCATGTTTTTCCTATCGGAATCTTAGAGTAAGTTCTTCTTGATTTCACAAATCACAACCTCATGTTAATTGTTGCAGAGTCAAATTTAATGAGAGCCTTGCACTTTACTTGCAGGGGGCTTCGGTTTGTGTGTTGCTTCCGGTTCAAGTTATGGTGGATGACACAGAGAATGGGAACTTGTGGGAGGGATATTCCTCTGGAGACTCAATTTATGCTTATAGAGAGCAAAGACAGTGAAGTGGAAGAGGAAAATTCTCCTGTTATTTACACTGTTTTGCTTCCTCTATTGGAAGGTCCCTTTCGATCTGTTCTACAAGGGAATGAGAAAAGCGAGATCGAGATTTGCTTCGAGAGTGGTGAGTAACTAACTCTTTATCATGTGAAAAACGGTTTGGTTTGGTGTGGTGTAAAAGCATGAAATGAAATTTATAATTTAGTCATGTTTACTGTTAATTCAGTTTCTTCCGGTCTGCCAAAAATTGTGGGGTGGAGCGGTCATTAATGCGATTAGAATTGGGGCTGGATAATCCTCAATCTATTGAATCGAACAAATGGAGTTTATAGCTTTGGAGAAAATATGTATAAGGTGGTATCCCAAAAAAACTCCTTTTGGTATGTGATTTGGTTTTGCAGGTGATCATGCTGTTGAGACTAATCAAGGCCTTCACATGGTTTACATGCATGCTGGCACCAACCCTTTTGAAGTCATCAACCAAGCTGTTAAGTAAGACATTTTTCTCCTATTACTTTTGACTTGTTAGGACATAGGATTGAGTTATTGATTTTATCTATTGGCATACGTTTTTGTGGAAGAGATTGTAGTTATTTGACCTGTTTCTTAAACTGTTATTTTCAGTAGCTCAACTTATTTTCAGTAGCTCTTCATGATCAAGCTTATGAAAACAACTTATAGCTTGAAAACAATTCAACTTTATTTTCTTTTGTTATAGAGATAGCATAATGATTGTAGACATAATATTGTGGCGGAAGTTAATCCATATAGCCGATCCCACTTAGTGGTATAAGTCTTGGTTGTTGTGTTGTATGTTAAGGGTTAGGGTCCCCTCAACTAGCACAAGAGGGGGCACTTGATGGACCAATAAAAGTGTTTAACTTAGTTGTTTATACAAACATGGCCTGTCTTGTATTTTCTCCTAAATTCTTGTACTAGTGTCCCCTTAATTGTTTGAACAGATGGGACAACATGTTACGTTGCCTTGTTTCCATTACAATAGTTAGAACATGTTCTTCATTTGGTGAATATTAGAATTAGAATTTGTATATTGGCCATTGTTTTAACTGATTCCTTTTTCCTTTTATTTATTAAGGGCTGTGGAAAAGCACATGCAAACATTTCATCATCGTGAGAAGAAAAGAGTAAGACCCTCTTCCTTGAAGCATTACTAATGATTGTACAAGTTTGCAGAGTTAGTATCTTATGGATCTTTTAACCTTTTTCTGTTGATTTTATTTATGCAGCTGCCATCTTTCCTAGACATGTTCGGTTGGTGTACATGGGATGCTTTCTATACTGATGTAACAGCTGAGGGTGTTGAACAAGGCCTGAAAAGGTAATTTTTTGAGAGAATTGTATATTATGTTTGCTTCATTTCATATGAATGATGTAAAGGTGAATTTTAAGATGAACTAAAGAATGAAATTCGTTTTTTGTAACTGCAGTCTATCAGAGGGAGGTACACCTCCGCGGTTTCTCATCATAGATGATGGCTGGCAACAGATTGAAAGTGAAGCAAAGGATCCTGGCTGTGTTGTGCAAGAAGGAGCACAGTAAGAATCTTGTGTTCTATTATTCTCTTTTCTTGTTTATTACTATACAGTTTTAAATAGTTGTTCATTTGTAACTGAGTAAAGTACTGGCAATTGATATGTTGGAAATTGTTCTTCTTATTGCAGGTTTGCTACTATGTTGACTGGTATTAAAGAGAATGCAAAGTTTCAAAAGAATAAAAATGGAGAGCACAGCGAACCGACATCGGGTCTTAAACATCTTGTTGACGGAGTGAAGAAACACCACAATGTCAAGTATGGTCCTAGTTCCATAAATTTGTCAATATTTTATGCAGCGCATTCTCTTTTCTGTATTAGAGAAGTATTGTTTGATAAGTAGCTCAACAAATTAATCATCTGAATTCTTAATTGGTTACTCTTTTGGTGGACAGAAATGTTTATGTATGGCATGCACTAGCTGGTTATTGGGGTGGAGTGAAGCCAGCAGCAACTGGCATGGAACATTACGACACGGCTTTGGCATACCCGGTGCAATCACCCGGAGTATTGGGAAACCAACCAGACATTGTCATGGACAGCTTGTCTGTACATGGCCTCGGTCTAGTACATCCAAAGAAGGTTTTCAACTTCTACAATGAGCTCCATGCTTATTTAGCTTCATGTGGAGTAGATGGAGTGAAGGTGGACGTGCAAAACATTATTGAAACCCTTGGCGCAGGGCATGGTGGCCGAGTCTCACTTACCCGTAGCTATCATCATGCACTCGAGGCTTCCGTTGCTCGTAACTTTTCCGACAATGGATGCATAGCGTGTATGTGTCATAACACTGATGGACTTTATAGTGCTAAGCAGACTGCTGTTGTGAGAGCCTCTGATGATTTTTACCCACGTGATCCTGCTTCCCACACAATCCATATTTCTTCTGTTGCATACAATTCACTTTTCCTTGGAGAGTTTATGCAACCAGATTGGGACATGTTCCATGTAAGCGAAACTGAATTGATCTTCAACTGTAATTCAGTTAGTACCTTCTTTTTTAGGTGTTAAATTTTTCTTCATTCTAACAAATATCTGTGATTTCAGAGTTTACATCCAGCAGCTGAGTATCATGCTGCAGCTCGTGCAATCGGTGGATGTCCAATTTATGTTAGGTACAGCAATATTATAATCCAATTGCAAACTCGTTACTTTTACAAATACTTGAATTGGACATAGATTTAACTGATATTGTTTTTCTTTTCTTTATTATGATATTACAGTGATAAGCCAGGAAACCACAATTTTGATCTTCTTAAGAAATTGGTACTTTCTGATGGTTCAGTTCTCCGTGCTCAGCTACCTGGCAGGCCTACACGCGACTCTCTATTTGTTGATCCGGCCAGAGATAGGACTAGGTTTGTTTTTACTTAACTCTAACTAGTAACTAATATATGTTTCTTAGACATAAATTGAGGACTTGTTTATTAATTTGAGTTGTAATTTTCAGTCTGCTCAAAATATGGAACATGAACAAATGTACTGGAGTTGTTGGTGTATTTAACTGCCAAGGTGCTGGGTGGTGCAAGGTAGAGAAGAAAACTCGCATTCACGATATATCTCCCGACACACTTACTACCTCTGTTTGTGCCTCTGACGTTGATCTCATCAATCAAGTAGCTGGTGCTGAATGGCATGGGGAGACTATTGTTTATGCATACAGATCAGGTACAATTAATTATTCACAATTAATTTATCATATGAATTCAAATAAGTCACAATCATCATTTAATACTCCTCTCCATTTTTCAGGCGAGGTGATTCGGCTACCGAAAGGTGTTTCTATTCCAGTGACACTGAAGGTTCTGGAGTTTGAACTTTTCCATTTCTCTCCAATCCATGTAAGAGTTCACCATCAACATATACAATATTATTTCATTGGTTTTTGGATTTTTTTTCTGCCTTTGATTTTGTTAAACTGACTGATTTAATGTTTCATTTGATAGGAAATTGCGTGCGGTATATCATTTGCAGCTGTAGGCCTCATGGATATGTTCAACACTGGAGGAGCTGTGGATGAGGTCGAAATTCATAAAGAGACTGACAACAAACAAGAACTATTTGACAGAGAGGCTGTATCATCAAAACTGGTAACTTCTCTAGGTCCTAACCGAACGACCACAGCGACTATTAGTTTGAAAGTTAGAGGAAGCGGAAAGTTTGGAGTTTACTCCTCGCAGCATCCAATAAAGTGCATGGTGGATGGGACTTCAACTGACTTCAACTATAACTCAGAAACTGGATTGACAACCTTCTTCATCCCAGTTCCTCAAGAGGAGTTGTATATGTATAAATGGTTAATTGAGATTCAAGTTTAAGTTATAACACTTGGCATTAAGTGAAATGTGTAGGGAGAAGGGTTGTCATAATAATAACACACATTTGGTATCATGTAGCTAGCTGAGAGATGGGGAAAATGGGGTTGAGGGTTGTTATTGTATAACTTGTAACGTATGTAGCTGAGAGAGTTTCACTTTCACATCATGTCATTAGTAGGGAGAGGAATGATGTTCTTCTCCCATGAATGTAATATGTTTTGTTTCAAATCAAATAAAATGTTCCTATCTTTGAAAAGTTTGAGTGTGTTATTCCTATTTTAGCATAAAATGGTAGAGTATAGTAATAGTAATGAAAAAAAGAAAGAGAATGACAGGAGTTATATGTGATTAACAGAAATACTGCTTTTACATAAAGCCAAAAGGTTTTATATAGAGAAGTTAAAGTATTTGTTTGGTTCTTCATTCAAGAATTTGAGTTTGATATTATTGATTATCATTAACAATGAGTTGAATAAAATTAATTTATATTTAAATGCATTATAAATGTTAAAAGCATTATAAATGTTAAAAGCGCTCGGCTCAAAATAACTTTTGAGTTAAAGTATATGTTTGGTTCTTCATTCAAGAATTTGAGTTTGATATTATTGATTATGATTAACAATGAGTTGAATAAAATTAATTTATATTTAAATGCATTATAAATGTTAAAAGCATTATAAATGTTAAAAGCCCTTGGCTCAAAATAACTTTTGAATCGATAATTACTAAAAGAAAAAAAGAAAAGTTTATGTGCGTGTGTCATACTATATTTATGTTAAACTAGTAGATTCAATATAAATTTCTTAAAAAAAAAATCCTAATTATTTTAATAAAAACTATTTTTTATTTTAATAAGTTTTGGTGCACCAATTTATTAAATTTATTTATTCATTTTTTATTTTTTTAAGCAAGAAATTAATTAAAGATGTACTAAGGGTATTTCAACCCAGTTACAAAACACTCAAAACTACAAGCCGGATTGTAGAATTCATACATTTGGAACCATTAATATCTTTAGAACTATTAATATTTCTTAATTAAGACCACCTCCAACCCAGTCTCACCGTAAGTATGAAGCATTGCAAGATTCATTTTGTAGCAAAATGAAAATTTAACTATTGTGAAATTGAAGCATAGAATTCATTTTCTACCACATTAAAAGGTATGTGGGATTTCTTTAAGTATTTAAAAATGATATCAAACATAAATTTATAGAATTTCTTAAGCGATCCTATATATATTTTTTAGATACTATGCAGATTTTTTATAATGTCTATAGTTTTTAAAAATATATTTTTGAACGCAAGCTGCATGATCAGTCCCCCCCTCCATTGTTGTCATTCTTCATTTCAACTCTAACCCTCATTCTAAAAATCATACATTTCCAATCTCATTTTTCACTCCAAATCTCCATCTTTTTGGTTCAACATATCACAAGGAGCAAAAGAAAATCAAATTTCAGATAAATATTGTTCATTCTATTATGCATTGCTCACATTAATCATGAAACTTTGTTGGAAAAAATTTACGCACATGAACTTTTTCGGAGATATAATTTTGAATGTTTATGTGTTCATTTTCAATCTTTTTTCTGCAGTAGTAAATTAATTATGTTTATTGTTTTTATTATTTCCAATAGATATGATAGATCCCAATATTTTTCAAAAACAAGTAGTTTCTCTGAACGATGTTTCTTCGAATGCTTAAGGGGTTATTGTTAAGACAATAGATGTTTGCAACGACTTTAATAACAAGAAAGAGTTTAAAAATCGTGATAACATGCTCGAATGGATTCGTATGGAGGCATCTAGACTTGGATTTGGTGTGGTTATCGGAAGGTCGGATAATGACTCGGATAGAAGAAACGCCTTTGTGACTATATTGTGCGAAAGAAGCGAGAAATATCGAACTCCTCTCTGGAAATTTAAGAGAGAAGTCACGGGTAGTAGCAAGTGTGAGTGTCCGTTTAAGCTTCGTGGTTACATCTTGGCTAGCAAAAAATGGATATTTAATGTCATTTGTGGTGCATAACCATGAATTGTGCTTAAAATTAGCCAGACATCCTAGTGTATGTCGGCTCAAGCTGGAGGAGAAGGTATACATTAGTGACATGACCTTGAATCTTGTCCAATCGAAAAATATACTTGCAACATTAAAATGGAAGAAAACCGACAATATATCAAACATCAAGCAAGTGTATAACATCCAGTACCTTACTAACAAGGCAATTAGAGGAGATAGAACTGAGATACAACAACTATTGAAACTCTTGGATGATAACAGTTACGTGTCCCAGTACCAAACTTGCGATGATGGAGTTACGGTTAGAGATATTTTTTGGACTCATTTGGATTTGGTAAAGTTGTTCAACACGTTTCTGACTATGCTTATACTTGATTCTACCTACAAGACCAACAAGTATAAACTTCCATTATTTGAGATGCTTAGTGTTAGCTCAATTGAGTATACATACTCTATTAGTTTTTCATTTTTAGAGTGTAAAAAGAGGATAATTTTACTTGGGGATTAGAGGTGTGTCGATCACTTTTGAAGGATCAAGGTGAGATGCCTAAAGATATTGTTATAGACCGCGATACTGAATTGATGAATAAGGTTGCAAAGGTGTTTCCTTATTCTTATGCATTACTTTGTAAGTATCGCATAAAAAAGAATGTGAGAAGTCAAATTAAACACGCGGTAGGGACAAAACAAGTAGAGTCCGAATGTGGAAAATTGTTGAATTCAAGTGTGATTATGGAGAAAATAATGGATGCATGGAATCACATAATAAATTCTTCCACAAAAGAATTATATGCCGATTTCATCATTCATTTCTGAAAAGTGTGTGAAAAGTATCCGACTTTGTTGAAATACGTTGAAAGCACCATTCTTGATCAGGTGAAGAAGAAAATAGTTTGCTCGTGGATTGATGATATCCGACACCTTAGAAATACAACCACTAACAAAGTTGAGTTGGCTCATGTTACTTTGAAATTTTGGTTGGAAAATAGCAAATGTGATTTGTGTCGAGATTGGGACTCGATGAACCACATGATTCAAAACCAACATAATGAAATACAAACAACATTTGGTCGGAGCATCACAATTTTAGAAGATCGATTCAAAGACAACATTCTTTATTCTCATTTGGTGGGAAACATTTCTTGTGTAGGGTTGAAATATATTTTTCATGAGGCCAAACGAGCTTATAATATAGGCTCTGGTAGTGCAAAGTGTGGTTGAACTATTGTAAAAACATATGGCCTCCCATGTGCCTGTGTTATTGCTAAAAAAGTGAAACTTGGTGAGCCAATAAAAATGGACGAGGTTTGCTCTCATTGGAAGGGACTTAGTTTCAATGATGATGGGTGCATGGGTGAAGGTAAATCAAATATCTCTATTTTGACCGAATGGGAAGCAATGCATGAGAGATTTTTGAAGGCCGGTGACAACATGAAACTCCACATCAAAGAACAATTGAGGAAAATTGCCTATCTCGAAACCACGAACATGAAACCGCCTTCTCAACCGGTAAAAATGAAGGGTGCTCAGAAGAAAATGAAGCCTACACCAAATTAAAACTCGACTACACGGTCTCCTTCATACTTTAAACACGTTTACAAAGTATTTCCCGACTCACCAACTCCAAAATCTCAAAAAAGTGTTATTAAAGGAGCTTGAATTAGCCAACCACCTCTGACGCCGCTTCTACCGAATATTCCATTCATTAAAGAGATGTTGAATTTTATGAACAAATATATCAATCGTATCGTCAATGTTGCGAGAGATGGTAATTACAGTTACCGAGTCGTTTCGGCTTTACTTGGTAATGGAGAAGATAATTATGCACTTGCTCGTCATCAACTTATCCAAGAGTTGAAGACGCATAAGGAATCATATACGCAGTTGTACGAAAAAAAAGAAAATTTATATTCGGTTTATGAGTCACTTGTTTCTTGTGTTATACTTCACAAAAACTCAAAATGTCTCAAATGTGTGAAATAAACATTCGTTTGTATGTTGCAAGTGTCTCCTACTTCGGCACCTCTACACCCAGGAGGACGTTCAAGCTCACCGATCTCACCCCTCGACGATATCATAGACAAAATCCACTATCTCCTATCTTACGGAGACACACGAAAGGTTGTCAAGTTTGAGTACCATTCACCCTCGGTTGACAACGAATGAAACATTGTGTTCAACAAATTTGAGCTCAAGACTCAAACGGATGTTTTGAAGATGTGGCGATCGTTTTTCGGTTTCGAAGAGAAAGTTCCGCTTGAGTTGGAAGTGACATTGCGAAGATCGATTGACGATGTCTTGGAGATCTGCAAGCGTACACCGAAATATTGAAATGTAGTATTTAATTTTTTGTTGAAATCATCATCGTAATGCTCATTTTATGTTATGAATGCTTATTTTATCTTGTGATGATTTATGTCTCGAGTTTTATTCTAGAAATACAACTACGGTATTGTTCTGGAGATATATCTCTGGAATAAATCTTTATTAATTGCATGGGGCGCCATCCAGAATGGTCTTCCTTAAGTGTGAAAAGGATGCGTCTGGAGATATATATCTGGAAACTAGGGGCAATATAGGAAATCCACATGGTGTCTAAGAAACACATAAGATGTAATAAGAAATTCTCTAAACTTATAAGCTAGAATTGTCTCAGGGTTGGTCCAAACCTAAGGCAAGTGAGATTAGGACATTATACCTCATATTTTTTAGGTTTGAAAATAGGTCTAAAATGTTGAAAATGAAGCTTTAAAATATATATAACTAAATATTTTATAGTAAGTATCAACAAATGAGATTGATATGTGGTTAAAACCTTAGTCCAATTTGACTATGGAATAAAATATACGTGCATGTGTGCATGGGTGGGTGTCTGAGTGTCTGTGTGTATGTGTAAGCGCGCACGTGTGTGTTGCGATTATTTAAGGGGATAAGAGAATTCACAAGGGTTGACATTGATATAATATTTAGTGGTGTGA